CATAGCAGCGCCTCTGCCATCGGTCCAGCAGGAGGACTTCAAGGCGCACCAAGACCTGCTAAAGTGGGTGGCATCCAACCTCCAGCTGCAGGCCGAGGAGATGGAGGGTCCGTCTGATTCCCTCTTTAACATCCTGTCCCCCTCGGCACCGGGTCGCGTGGCCCTGCCTCTGCATCAGGGTATTGCCAACATCTCAAACTCGCTGTGGCAATCTCCCGCCTCCTTAGCCCCAATATCCAAGAAGGCTGAGAGGAAGTTCTTTGTGCCGGCGAAGGACCACGAATACCTTTATTCCCACTCCGCACCCAACTCGCTCGTGGTGGAATCGGTAAACTACAGAGAGCGTCAGGGCCAGCCCGCACCCACCCCCAAAAACAAAGACGACAGGAGACTGGACTCCTTTAGCAGAAAATTTTATTCGTCGGCTAGTTTCCAGCTTCGGGTAGCCAACCACCAGGCCTTACTGAGCCCCTCCTCCCGGACCGGGACAGGAAGGACTTCAAGGCTCTGGCGGAAGAGGGGGCGGTGGCGGCAGCTAAAGTGGCCCTGCAAGCGGCGTCGGATGCTGCTGACACGGCGGCCCGCTCGATGGCTTCCGTGATCGCCATGCGCAGGGCATCGTTGCTCCTATTGTCGGGGCTGTCGACGGAGGCCCAATCCCTGATGTAGGACCTCCTGTTCGATGGCAAGGCGCTCTTTGCGGACCAGACGGACGTCAGGCTGCATGGGATGAAAGATTCCCGCACCACCTTGCAGACCTTGGGCCTGTACGTCCCTCCAGCTAAGGACAAGGCCAAATCGCTTCTGGCGGCTCAACCTGCGAGGAGCAGATATGAGCAGATATGAGCCCCCATACAAAAGACCCAGAAGCGTCGGTCTCAGAAGCAGTCCCACTTTGCCCCGCAGCCTGGACCCTCTAAGGGCAAGAGGCGGTTTTGACTGCTGCCAGGGAGACCCCCCCCCCCCAATTAATAAAGTTTGTGTTCAGCAACTGATTGCCTGCCTTCCTCAGAGCGTGGTCCCGCATAACTTCGAACCAGTGGGTCCTCAGTACCATTTCCAAGGGCTATGTGTTGCAGTTCACCTCACCCCCGCCAAATCACCCGCCCTCCATGATAGCCCCGGGGGACCCGGAACATATCCGCCTCCTGCGTCAGGAGGTGGATCGGCTGCTTCACCTGGGGGCGGTGGAAAGGGTACCGGTACAGTTCCAGGGCAAAGGGTTCTACTCCCGATACTTCCTGATCCCGAAGGCAAAAGGGGGTCTCAGGCCCATTCTGAATCTGGGCGACCTGAACAGGTTCCTAACCCGTTCCAAGTTCCACATGGTGTCCCTGGCTTCTATTATCCCCTTCCTGGACCCGGGGGACTGGTACGCGGCCCTGGACCTTCAGGACGCGTATTTTCACGTCCATATTTTCGAGGGGCACAGGTGCTTCCTCTGATTCATGGTAGGGATGGACCACTACCAGTTTGCGGTCCTCCCCTTTGGCCTATCCACGGCTTCCAGAGTTTTCACAAAATGTATGTCCACATGGTGGCGGCCTACCTCAGGCGGGAGGGGGTACAAATCTTCCCTTACCTGGACGACTGGCTCCTCAAGGGAGAGTCTCGTTTCGAAGTGGAGCTGCTCCTGTCGACATGCGCCAATCTGGGCCTTCTTGTGAACAAGACCAAATCAACATTAGTGCCCATTCAGCACATAGAGTTCATTGGGGCCCTGCTGGACTCCTTGAGGGCCACAGCCTCTCCCCCCTTGGACAGGTTCGAGACCCTAAGGGATCTCATCGCCTCGGCCACGGCCTTCCCAGTGACCACGGCGAGGGTGTGTCTTTGGATTCTGGGACACATGGCGGCATGCACTTACGTGGTCTGCCACGCCAGACTCCGTTTGAGGCTCCTCCAGATATGGTTGGCCTCCCAATTCTCCCAAGCTCGGAACAGTCTGGACAAAGTGCTCACGGTTCTGTCCCCGATACTGGGTTCCCTTCTATGGTGGTCCTGCCCGAGCAATATGCTGCCAGGGGTTCCCTTCAGGGAGGCCAACCCGTCCATAGACCTGATGTCCGATGCTTTGGACCTCGGCTAGGGAGCCCACATGGGGGATGTGCAAACCCAGGGAACGTGGTCGACCCCAGACTTGTCCCTGCACATAAATGTCAAGGAACTCAGGGCGATACGGTTGGCGTGCGTGGCTTTCCTCACGCACCTCAGCGGTAGGGTGGTCAGGGTCCTCACAGACAACACCGCTGCCATGTACTATATCAACAGGCAAGGTGGGACTCGCTCCCTAGCCCTCTGCCGGGAAGCCCTGAACCTATGGGAGTTCTGTATAGCCCACGATATCTCCCTGAGAGCGGCTCACTGCCCGGGCATCCGCAATACGCAAGCGGACCACCTCAGCAGCGTCTTCTCCCCCCAGTATGAGTGGTCGCTCCACTCGGAGGTCGCTCACCGACTCTTCCAAGAGTGGGGAACTCCCCAGATCGACCTGTTTGCAACCCGCCAGAACCGGCGTTTCCCCCGTTCTGCTCCAGGGGAGGGATGGGGGAAGGCGCGATCTCCGACGCATTCCTCCTGAGCTGGTCGGGCCAGCTCCTCTATGCCTTTCCCCCATTCCCCCTCATTGCCAAAGTCCTTCAGAAGGTGAAAGCGGACAAGGCGAGAGTCACTCATAGCCCCGGCGTGGGCCCGCCAGCACTGGTACGGGCCCCTCCTACGCCTCTTGGCGGCCCCCCCCAAGGGCGCTGCCACTCCATCCGGACCTCCTCTCCCAATCTGGCCGCGCTCCACTTGACAGCGTGGCTGCTCCGTGGCTGAATGAGGAGGAGAACAGGTGTTTGCAGCAGATAAGGCGAGTCCTCCTGGAAAGCAGGAAGCCGTCCACGCGTCAGACGTACGTGGCGAAGTGGTCCAAGTTCGCCAGGTGGGCGAGTGAGCAGGGAGTCTCCCCCTCCGCCGCACCTCTCCAGTTTGTCCTGGACTACCTCTTATCCCTTAGGGCCCAGGGTCTGGCACTTGCCTCAGTTAGGATGCACCTCACGGCCATATTGGCCTTTCACCCGCCGGTGCAGGGGCACTCGGTCTTCTCCCACTCCATGACCTCCTGTTTCCTGAAGGGCCTTGACTGTTCATTCCCGTACGCTAGGCCCCCTGTGCTGCAATGGGACCTCAACCTGGTCTTGTCCCGTCTCACGGGGTCCCCCCTTTGAATCTCTGGCCACGTGTTCCTGGTCGCACCTCTCGTGGAAGGTCACCTCTCGTGGAAGGCCTTCCTCATGGCGATCATGTCGGCCCGACATGTCTCAGAACCCCCCTATATGGTTTTCCATAGGATAAAGTCCAGCTCCGCCCACACCCGGCGTTCCTCCCGAAGGTGGTCTCCACCTTCCATATGGAGCAGAGCATCTTTCTCCCCGTGCTCTGTCCTAAGCCCCATTCTTCTAACAAGGAGCGCCGCCTCCACACGCTCGATGTGCGTAGGGCGTTGGCTTTTTATCTGGATCGGACTAGGCCGTTCTGGAAATCCTCTTAACTCTTTATTGCCTTGGCTGAGCGGGCAAAGGGGCAGCCTATCTCCACCCAGCGGCTTTCCTGCTGGATCACCTCGTGCATACGCACATGCTATGATCTGGCAGGGATTCCCACGCCATCGATCATCAGGGCACACTCTACGAGGGCTCAGGCTTCCTCAGCTGCCGACGTAGCCCATGTCCCCAACCAGGACATTTGTAGGGCGGCCATGTGGGCCTCAGTTCACACATTTCCTTTGCATTACGCGATTGTCTCCCAGTCTAGGGATGACCCCGGGTTCGGCAGGGCAATACTTCGTCCCGAACCATCGTGAACTCCTACCCACCTCCAACAGATATTGCTTGGAATCACCTACTGTGGAATACACAGGAGCAATCACTCGAAGAAGAAGAAAGGACAGTTACCTGTTCCGTAACTGGCGTTCTTCGAGATGTGTTGCTCATGTCTATTCCACACCCCGTCCTCCTTCCCCTCTGTCGGAGTTGTCCGGCAAGAAGGAACCAAGGGTGGGGGGAGCCCGTGGCTCCCCTTATAGCACGATATTCAGGCACCACTCCAGGGGTCGCTGCGGTGCTCCCCCAATCTGGGTACTGCTAAGGGAAAAACGTCTGGCACCGGTGCACGTGGCGAGCATGCACACCTACTGTGGAATAGACAGGAGCAACACATCTCGAAGAACGCCAGTTACGGAACAGGTAACTGCCCCTTCTCATGTCATCAGAGAGTTAAATGACTACGGTGTAAGGCAGTGAATAATCTGACAGTTCCTTCCTTCTCTGGTGAATACTTCTACTTGAAGATTTAAACTGTATTCCCACCTGCAAGAAGTGTCTTGCTGTGGGATTGATCAGAAAGAGCTAAACCTCTTCCCTATCTTCTCACACACGAAAAGGGGATGGTTGGTTTAGATTCAGATTAAGAATCTCTGCATGCTTTTTACTGAGTGTTCTCCACAAAATTCACTTCTGACAGCTTATTCCAGTGTAGCTCCTGAGGGCAACATCTATCATGCTGAGGATGGCTATGCAGAAGTGCATTGCAGAAGCAGCTAGACAACCCTGATTATAGCCCTCATGCTAGGTGCTGTGCAAACAGAAAACGATGGTCCAGATTTGTTTTAATCTGCTTCCTTGAAGCTGTTTTTCTACTTGATTTATTTCTACTTGATGTACCAAACTCTTCCACATGTGGAGGATTTAGATAATGCGCTTTATAGGCAAGGTAGTAGTGACTAGGTTTTTCCCTGTTCAGGAGGAACTAAGTCAGTCTAATCAGGACAGGCAGCACTATTGCTGATATATTTAAAGTATCTTTGAGTAATTTGGCCTATTTCAGAAGCACACCTAGTTTAGTTACGCAGGGTCTTAAAGAATAACTTTTCGGAACACTGCTGGGTTTAAGATTAGTGGTGCTCCTCCACCATGAGTTGGGAGCAGCCATTTAATGCCAAGCTACCCTTCACAAAACTTAGCAAAGTCTGGTCATTTGCCATACAGTAAATTTATTCAAACGGGATAACTTTGTTTTACAGTAATGCCTCACTGCATTCTTTAAAACAAGAGGAAATCGTTTATATAAAAAGTATTTGTACATAAAGAGACAAATCATAGTAAATTAACAGTAACATTACCAATCCCTAAAACATGCAGAGTTGCACATTGATTGTGGGCAGTAGTGCATACTTGAAGGAGATGACCTATCTCCTGCTCTTCCCAGATAAGCCATGAGTATTTCACCGATTGAGGGTTTCCAATAAACTCAGCACTGTCTCTATTCTCAGTGGTTAGTCCAACTGGCGATGAAAGTGAACTTAACATGGAGAACAGGGTCACAAATATGTTTACTTGCATGGCAGGAAGACACTACTTACCAATTTCCAACTACCATGGATCAGATTTTGGTCTACTGAGGATAAACCCATGCATGGATGTGAATTTAGAGTACTGTTACAGAATGGAACCTGCTGAGAGATCAGTGTGTAACATGCAGCAGCACAAAGGATGTGATGGGGTGGCAATTTGGTTTTCAGTGCCCTGTTTCATGGGGACCCAGTACTAAATGGCCTCAGGGATAAACTCCTCAAGGCCAGAGTGCAAAAGCTGTTCTGTACATCACATCTGATTAATCGCACTGCAATAAGCACATGGCTTTAAATATATGCACTAGTATTAAGCCTCTCTCTCCCTTCCTCCCACACACACACACCTCCATTTTCTTAATAGTAGGAGTTAGTTTCTCAGTGCTCAGTGACTGAGCAGTAGGAAACTCTAGGGCCCAGGAGTTAGATGTGTGTGTTAAGCCATCTCATATTTCTCATTTATCAGAGGATTTGCTTTTGTCTCCATCCCCTCCATAGGAAACAGAGCTCTTTCAAAGAAATATTGAACAGTATAAAAAAAAAAAAAAAAAAAAAAAAAAGAGTCAGCAAGCCTTTTTACACACTGCCTAGGTCAGACCTCAAGCCACTACTTTACAAATCTGCACTGTATATAACTGGACAGTGCAACCCCCATTTCAGCTACTGAGGAATTATACAGGGCTACCCTTAGGATAAGGATGTCCAGATAGGACAAAGGGTTTATAATCAAAGCTATCATCGGACACTGGACAAATCTCTATGGGGCTATTTTTGGCCCTGTGAGGTTCTCATAGCGGTATATTTGTCAAGGACCCCTGCCTTTGGTTGTTAACATTGGTGTTTTGTACCACAGATAAGAATCCAGAATACATATCTGGATAAGAGCATCCCTTCAGACCAACACAAGATGAGACCTAGAACTGGGATGGAACCATCAGTTACCTGTTTCTTTAACATGTGGAAGGATCTGACCAGGATGGAAACGCAAGCACATGGCACCTCAGAACACACATTCTCTTTGCAAACTAGAAAAATAGCTTGGCCCCAGTTCCATCTCTTCCATCTTGAGTAATAAGCACTTGCTGTAAGTTTATTTTGAGTGGGGGAGGATTAAACATACAGGACAGAAGCAATACTTAAAACACAATGACAAACAGCAGCCAAGTTATCACAACCATCACCTTTACTCTATCAACTTAGTCTCAGAGTAGGGGAGCTGGGCAGAAGACAGAGGGTGAAAGAGGAGACATTTTAACATGCCCACTCAATCCCCACCCATCTGTATAGATGTCCAAAGAGATACCCCAAAGGAAAAAAGGGTTCCATATTGAAGAGGGAGATGTCTCTCCAAGAGGGGCCTATGCCTTTAAGGGATCTTACCAGCTACTGTGCCATTCCATTTGTGACCTCAACCCATGTTTGCATTGGTGGCCCCTGAACAAGCAAGCATTTAACTCTACATAGTACATCAGTTTGTGGACCAAACATGTAGGGAGGAGAGGTTAATTAGATCCCAATATATAGTGGCAGCAAAATGAACTTTCACCACTCTGACTACCTTCATAGACCCACCTTGAGCTCTCCAGCCCCACTGCTCATGCAGAGATGGAGGCACTAGCAATGCTGTTCTCTGCTTAGTATGCTCCCATTAAAGTGCAAAGCTGTACATACACACACACATGAGCCTGCACGTACCCTCTGGAGACTGCCTTGCTGCCTGCCCAGCTGAGAAACTGCAGTTAAGACAAAAGAACAAAGAAACAAAATCCCTTCAAGTAGTTTTAAAACTGCTCTTCCTTGAGGCTGAAACTGCACTGAGGCAGTGATTTGGGGCCGCTAGGGGTGATAAGACAAAGAGAAGTCCGAAGTCCTGGAAGGATGGAAGAATGAGGTGTCAGTAGTGAAAGACAAGTTATTTTGTGGGTTGCTCCTTCGCACACGCTCATGCGCTCTCATTCTTGGCTGATCAGCACAGGCCATCTGTTTACTTCTGCACACAGCTGGGCCATGTAAGCCCACCGCAGGCAGCCGACACAATGATGTAGATGACCACCTGGAGGAAGAAAGCACTGTCACATGGATAGAGAATCATTCCCATCACTCAACGTGTAGCAGTCAAGTACTTAGAACAAGGTTTGGAAACCCAGACTAGGGTACTATTCCTGTCTCTGCCACCAACTTCTCCATTGGCATTCAACAATTTGGGGAAAATCTGCCTCAGTTTCCCCAACTGCAACTCTGGGATAACACCACCCGCCCTGCAGAGTGATGCAAGGCTCCATCAAGGACAACATTGCACCTATGTCACCTGCAATTATGCTTTGAGGTCCTCAGATGAAAGATGTTAAGAGCAAGAACATTTGAGGGTAAATACCTGAGGAGGAGGAGAGGCCATGACTCAGGCATGAAGTCATTTCAAGTAAGAGCAACAGGGGCGCAGGGCTCCTTAAAACTTAAGTCTCCACTGGGCCCAGATACTGTGAACTCACTGCTTCAGCCTCTAAAAGTCAACAAGGCAGCTATGTCCCTGCCCTCTCTTACAGGGCTATATACAGCTAGAGAGAATGGCGACAGGGCACCCTCTGGAATGCTACACTTCCTGTCTCTCTCATCTGAGACATTAAGATAGCGGACATCACCCCCGCACACTGTTATGGGCAGGGCTAGAAATGGCTGGAAAAGAGAAATCCCCTCCTGGAAAAGATTTCCCATTTTTGAAAAAGGTCCTCCATATTTGGGATGGAACAAGTCACAACGAAACATTTTTTGTGGGAAGGGATTGAGAGAATTCCATTTCGAGAGAACCAAAATGGAATGTCTGGCATCCTGCCTGAAGGAAGCCTCTTCCTCCCCAGGAGCTGGCCTCCTAACTCCTGGGCCCTGGAACTGGCAGGCAGAAAATGTAATTGACGAGTTTTCCAGGCAGGCAGCCAGGGAACCATCACTTCAATTTTCTTGATGGAAAAATAGAATTTTTTGGCGAAATGAATTTTCTGCAGAAGACATTAGTTTTGGGAAAAGGGCATTTTTGGGGGGGAAATCATTGATGAAAAATTCCCGACCAACTCTAGGCAGGATATTGCCACCTGCTCTAGTGTAAAAAGGGTAGTGAAATGCTGGTTCCTAGCCTTGGGAAGAGAACCTTCAAGAAGGAACCCATTTACCTCCATCACTAGGAGACGCTGGTTATTTGGGGGCTACTGTGAAGAGACATGGATGACATTTTCTAACATCCAGGCCTCACTTTAGAAAGGAGCATGTGCGTTACCTCCTTGGAAGAAAGAGGATGAAGGCTAGTAACTTACAATTGATACTACTGTGATGATGATGGTAAGCTTGAGGTTCTTCATACACATGGCTCTGGCCAGGTTCCTGCTGGTAGTTTTGAATGTGACAGACTATGAGAGAAAGATAACCCCCACTTAGTCGATGTGCCCTGGTGAGCAGCCCTAGTCCTCCAGTTGGATTTCATGTTAAGAGCCCATCATATCATCCCTCCTGATCCAATACCTAACCTCCAACAGCCTGCCAAGGGGAGCAGTAGGGGCAAAAAACCTAACTGGCTTCAAGACTGAACTTGGTAAGTTTATGGAGAGGATGATATGATGAGACTGCCTACAATGGCATGTAGCCAATCTGCAACTGCTAGCTGCAAATATCTCCAATGACAAGTGATTGGATGATTAGATGGGGAGGGCTCTGAGTTACTACAGAGAATTCTTTCCCAGATATCTGACTGGTGCGTCTTGCCCACGTGCTCGGGGGTCAGGAGGGAATTTTGCCCCGCATCAGATTGGTGGAGACCTTGGGGATTTTTCACCTTCTGCACCATGGGACATGGGTCACCTGCAGGTTTAAAGTAGTGTAAACAGTGGATTCTCTGTAATGTGAAGTCTTTAAACCATGATTTGAAGACTTCAGTAACTGAGCCAGAGGTTTGGGGTCTATTACAGGAGTGAGTGGGTGAGGTTCTGTGGCCTGCAATGTGCAGGTCAGACTACATGATCATGATAGTCCCATGTTAGGCCTTAAAGTCTATATATGAGAGAGAGAGAGTGTGAGTGTGTAAGAGATGCATTCCCTCTGCCCAACCCCCACCTCTTCATCAGCATTTACAATAAATCTGGATACTTCCCACTGCTAAAGAGCAGGTCATTTCATCCATTGGAGGTTGTATGGGGCCCCTGTCCAAGTCACTTATTTGCTTTGTCCCTTCACTTCCCCTAGGAAAGGGAGCCCCTTCCCATTCCTGCCTCTGTACCTGCAATCCTTTAGCACTGATCGTCTCAGTGGGAGACAGGATTGGGGCCCCAAGTTTCTGCACTAGTTTTCTTCCACAGAAGTGGTAGTTAAAGAGGCAACATCAAAGCTTGTGTGAGCCTGAAAATGAGCCTTGTACATGGGCACCCCTCTGCTCAGCCCTCAGCTTTTCTATGCACTGCCTGTTCACATGTCCTGTGTTGCACATACAGCCAGGCTAATCTACCCTGTTCCATTTGCAGGCCTACAATCCAGTAGTAGAGGGCATTGTGCACAGTTTTACCATTGTAAAATAAATATACTAAGAGAGGTTTCAAACTGAGCAACTTTCGATACCAGCTCCCTTTTGGGTCTAGCTGACTGGAGACCTTTGAGAACCTGAAGCTTATCTCCAATATTTATGCTATTCTGACCTTGTGGTAAGTCTTCACTTTATTCATTTTTCCCATCCTGCTTCTCTGTAATCCAGAACCCCACTACTCTCCAAATCATAGGATTTCATCCCAGGATGGCAGCCTGCTGTCTTTTAAGATTAGATGATTTCTTGCACAAAAACCCCTAAACATCCCAGTGCAAAGAGCTCTCTGAATGGAAAAAGAACTGGCAAATGCTGGACATTCAACACAGGACCATGCAACAGCTTCCAATCCAATCCAGCTATAGGAAACTCAGCACTGCCCTCTGTTGGGAGCAAGGTGAATTTTCTGCACCCCCTTGCATTATTTCCTCTTCTCCCTTCTTTTCTTAAATGCAGAAGGGCATTTCTTGACATTTCTGAGAGGTGAAGAACAACTTCTAGGGGACCCATTCATAGCTATGTGGGTGTTAGCTGCACTAACTTGTTTATTTTCAGTAGCCAAAGCACTATTGTAGGCCAGAAGGCTTCCACATAATTAGCCTGAAGTCAATTGATCTGAGAGTTATTTTCATAATTAAGGTTTCTATAATGAAGAGCATAGATGTCGTGGAACCAAAATATGAAGGAAACCCAGACTGTAGGTTTCCCCTTACATACGAGAAAGCAGGAAGGAAGGTCATGGCTCATGTGGGCATTTGGGGCTTGTGTGCACAGACAGGAAGAAAGGGGAAGAGTGGAACTTATACAGGAAGGTTCCTTAACAGAGCAGGATGCAGCAGCAGGAGCACGTAACTGAACTAGCACCAAGGAGGTAGGAATCAGGCATTATTCCAGTGGGAGCAGAGTTGTGACACGTCTACATGTAGCCTGGTATCCAGTATCCATCCACACATCTCATGCACTGCTACGCCTCGGATGCAAATAGCAGAAGACACGGTGCAGTAAGGAATGAGGGCACAATGAGCTATGCCACAAGCAAAATACAGCTGCTGTTGTTGGAAACCAAGTTGCGTAGGTAAGGCCTAGAGGGGGACTGAAAGAAAGTCATGTGTCTTGTACACACGACATGCCAGTCACAGTACAAACACAAGGGCTTAGTGTCTAGAAGCCCCAATATTTGCACTGTCTGTGTACAGCTCTTGTGCCTGGTCTTTGCTGCCATCTGCACACTGGTTAATATCAGCTTTTTGCTTATAACTAATATAGTACCAGCATGTTTGGTTACTACATAAAGTCCACACAGTCCCCTCACCCCCGCTTCCCCTTATGCCTCTCTGTACTTACTGAATCCACTAGATTCTCCGTTTTGTCTATCAGCAGCTCCAGCTTCTCTCCTCTTTGGGCCACCAGGTCTGAGGGAGGAAGAACAAATCAGCAGTCAGAATCGAGGTGCGAAAGCACCTTCCTTATCCAAGTCTTTTGCTACTTCAAGGCCAGGAGACATCTCTGATACAACTAGGGTTGGCAGTATTCAATTGTTATTTTTATAATGTCAACAAATCCATTTATTTTAAAGCTTTTTTCTATTTTTATCAATTTAAATTTTCACAGCTCCAGGAAATCACAATTGTCTGAACCGCCCCTCCTGCCCCCATGACAGTAGTTGTTAAGTTATAAAGCTTCTTAATTCTCAACACAAATTGTCAACATATATTCAGATGTACAAAGTAAATATCCTTAAATCAAACTAAGTTCTCAAGCAGCATTTTTCTTAAAGTTTTGAGTAATGTCGATGGGAATATTTTTTCCTTGGTTTGGGTACGAGTACAGTGAAATCGACATTTACCAATAAAAAGCTCTCTTGCTAGACAGTTAAGGGTTGTGCACAACCCTTCTGAGCTACTTGGAGTACAGTATTTGAGGTGGAGGGAGGAAAAAGGTCAAAATTCCCATATCCCAAGCAATCCCAAATCAGTTTCTGAGCCAGATCCTAGAGTTTCACCAATTTATACCAGCTGAGGATCTGGCCCTCTATCTTAAGTGAGGAAGCAAGTTTTTCTTGAACTCCATTGCAGTGGGCTAGGGCACTGTTTATGAATGAAGCCCTCAAAAGGAAACAGGTTACACTATGGATTAGTCCAGGGGTCGGCAACCTTTCAGAGGTGGTGTGCCGAGTCTTCATTTATTTACTCTAATTTAAGGTTTCGCGTGCCAGTAATACATTTTAACGTTTTTAGAAGGTCTTTTTCTATAAGTCTATAATAGAAAACTAAACTATTGTTGTATGTAAAGTAAATAAGGTTTTTAAAATGTTTAAGAAGCTTTATTTAAAATTAAATTAAAATGCAGAGCCCCCCGGACCGGTGGCCAGGACCCTGGCAGTGTGAGTGCCACTGAAAATCAGCTCGCGTGCCACCTTCAGCACACGTGCCATAGGTTGCCTACCTCTGGATTAGTCATTTAACAAGCTACTTGAGGCTTTGAAGGAAGCATTAATACAGTACCTCTAGCTTCATCTCACTTGTATAACTCTATAATCCTGCTATATAGTTTGGGTCCAGAAGTAAATATTTTAGTGTAAAAGAGCCCTACATCAGAAACTGGTGAGTTGCTATTTAATCTACATGGTTATGGCCAGGAGCCAAGTGGATTTTAGGGCCTGTCTGCATAGTGGGGTAATGTGTTCTAGAGGAGTGTGATTTCTAAAGCACACTAACATGTTGCACATTAATTGGCCCGTGTGGACCCTGCTGGTGTGCACTAAAGGTTCCCTAGTGTGCTTTAATGCAATGCATTTCAAACAGCACTACATCAAAGCACACCAGCTAGGTCTACACAGACCAAGTAACGAGTTTTAAAAAACACAAACCTGTAGAGCACATTACCCCACTGTGTAGACAAACCCTTAGTTTGGATAAACCATTGCCTTCTCCAAGAATAGAAGGAGTTCCAAATCTTTCCAGCTTTAAGACTCTTCAAATCCATCAGCAAAGGAGTGATACAAGTGCTTTGCTAAGGCCTTGATCCTGCATTCAGGCCCACATGGTTTTCAATGCAGAATGGAGATTGAGCATTTGGAATTTGGAGTGCATCCACCATTGGTCTGCAACACAACTCCTCAATCCCAATCTGCCACTCACAGTGAAATCTTAGTGCAAACAAATTCCTCTGTAAACTCAGAGCACTTCTGTATGTGGCATGGAATACTCGTCAACTGTAGCAGACTCTGTTGTTCAACCAGGTTACCACTGCAGAAGCTGCCAGGTAAACCTTGGCTTCCCATAAAGCATCAGCTGCACAATACCATTGGGAATGCCTCCGAAAGGGATGCTCCCCTGGGACCTAGGATTGCACGCTGTGTGCAGAACAGGAAGTGAAGTGATAAATACCTATGTTTCGGACCATGATTCCTTTAAGTTCATCAACCTGGGCTTGTGTCTCCACCATCTGATCAGTGCCCTTGTTCTCCGAGTGGTGTTTCTGTAACAGATTAACTGAGTCAGTGATGCTACAGATCGGTTTAGAATGAAAACAATTTCTCCTATCTCAGCTCCCCGTTCTCTCCTAAAGAGCTTGCTGGCAAGCTGGGGGAAGTGGGAGGGGAGAGAGATAATCCAAATATAATATCCAATAATAATAATCCAAATATAATATAGGTAGTCTTTTGTCTGGTGAAAAAAATTTCCCTGGAACCTAACCCCTCATTTACATTAATTCTTATTTGGAAATTGGATTTGCTTAACATCGTTTCGCTTAAAGTCGCATTTTTCAGGAACATAACTACAACGTTAAGTGAGGAGTTACAGTACCAGTGTTCTATCTGTACAGGTCTTGCAGACTGCTTTCAACCACTTCCTACATCTACTTTGGCTTGCTACTAATTTCCAAAAGCTTACAAGTGAAGTTCTACCCAGAGATTCTCAGGTTTATCTTCCCTGTTACTTCAGTACCCTTGTAGATGGCTTGAAATCTATGGGTGAAGAACACTAGACAATTACTAGGTATTACAGGAGGCAGAGGGACATGGAAAAATAAAAATTGAGGTGGAAGCTAAGATTACAGAGTTTATGTCCCAGCTGATTTTGTACAGTCTTGGGCAAGTCACTTCTCTTGTGTGCATCAATCCTCAAGGGGAAATGGGAACTGCAACTGCAAGGTTAGTCGCAAAGTTTGTTATCAGGGCCCTGTGTACACTGCAGCAAGCTAGACTTAAATTCTGTGGTGCTCTAGTGTGGCAAACTGATTGGAAATTCTGTAACAGCTTCATTTAATTATACATGTGGATTTTATTGAATTCAATAGGAAAGTGAATACTACAAGCAGTACTACAACCGCATGATATTTTGTATTTCCTTTTGTGCTACCCCACATTTCCAGTATGCTAATTATCTGCATAATCAACATCATTATGAAGGAAGCTGGGTGAGAGCAGTAGGGTGAAAGCTTTCCACACTCAGGAGGCAGTTTAGGATTGTTGGATAAGAATATTAGCATAATGTTTTTGCTCAAGTGATCCACAATAAAAGAGTGTTGCCGTTAAACTGTCATTAGGAGTCAACACTTAATTGAAATGAATGGGGCAGTTAATCGCTCAAAGTTATTGTTTCCATGTTACCTGAGACTACGGGCAGTCTCGTTACATTCAGTTCATATTTTTAACATTCCCTTGAAAGATTTTCAATATGGAAAGTTGAGACTGGAGCAAGATCTGTGACAAAGGGTGGATTCTACAGGAAATTCTCCAGTCTCAGAACAGCAGATTACATCGGGCTGTGCTTATGACTATCAAGTGCTTAGACATGCCCAGTCCTAGAAAGGCTACATACTCCTCAGGTGTATGAGTCCTGCTGATGAGAAGCGCATCAATGTTCAGGCAGGAGCTCCCAACACAGCTTTGCACAAGCTATTACAAAGTATGCATGCATGTTTCTCTCCAAACACCACTCTCCTCCCTACTTAGGAGAACTCTTTCCAAGGATGGGAGTGGAGTCTGACTAGGGACTTGAAGATTGTCTGTATGAAATTTTAATTTGCACTGACTTTGCTAATGCTTTTTATGTAGCCTGTTGTAAAAATAAGCAAATATCTAGATGAGTTGATGACCTGGAAGACCTCTGCATACCCCCATAGGTACACATACCCCTGGTTGAGAACCACTGATTTAAAGCCAACAACAGGAGCGTTTACAAGGGAGAGATGAGACTGGTTAGAGAGACCCTTCTGACCACATGTATCTTACCAGCTGTGCAGCCAAGATACTGGAGAATTCGCTGTTCATGGCATATGGAAGTGCTGTCTGTGCTCTTGAACCATACGTAGTCTGAAATCTCTTTTTGATTTCATTCAGGAAACTGAAGGCTCTGGAACGTTCAAAGTTCTAAAAGTAAAAACAAAATGTTCACAACTGGCCGAAAACTGCAAGTCACCTAACAACGTTCTAGTTAGGAAACTGTGGGATAGGTGGCCTACAGAAAAACTTAAAAGATATGTAACCATTTAGAGACCCTCCACCTTTTATCAAATACGAACAACCACACTGCGCATAACCCTGCAAAAGCCTTGCTACCTCTTCCTCTTAATTTCTTTGTTAACAGCAGTCACTTTTTTAATATCAGTCTGTTTCTCCCTGGATACCCACTGGAATCAGGCATACAAAGCTCAAAAGCAAGCCTGTGCTTTATTTACTTTTTAAGGGGAAACAAAGACAAAAGACTTCACAGCCTCTATTTGTACTTTCTTCCACAGTTGAGGGCAAAGCTTATGTGTACTGTACTAATGACTAGGATGCCTTAGGGATGACTGCAGAGCGAAAGTCACCTGATCCTTGTAGTTCTATTGTAGCTGGGTGAATCTTACCAACTCACTTGCAAGTAGAAAGCAGCAGGGGAAGTTGGTGCAGTGGGAAGGAAACACTGTCGTCCCCCATACACACACCAGCTGGATATTGAGGTAGACTGAACTAAAATATTTGAACTTTAACTTTAGATAGAGGGGCCCATGTTCTGAGTTACACCAGTGTAAATATGCAGGAATGCCACTGAAGAAAACAGCCCCATGGCTTTGTGCCCATTATTGATTTTCATGGATATGCACAGAGAGAAAAGCGCTACCATTTTCAGGGTGTATGCATAATAGCGTTATCCAAAATACTTACATCATCTGTGATACATAGGTATATAATCCGGTCTTGGCAGATATAATGAAATAGATAACTGCAAAAAGGGGGGGAAAAAAAACAGCAAATCTTATTTAAAGCTGCCAACAAGACTCCATGAACTGCTGTAGAAGACCCCAGTGTCTGATGTGTTCGAACAGCTATCTGCCAGGCACACCCAAATTAAGGAGTGGAGCAACTTGCCGAAAAGAAACAGGTCCCAGCATGCAATGCTCCATCTTGATCACAGCATGTTTCTTCTGGGACCTTTGTATTGTAACCTGCATAGAACTAAAGATAACAAAGCTGTGGGCAGTGGTACATGTTGGTATCCCAATGGCTACATTTAGCTCACAGCCCACACTTGGCCACCCCTGGATTAACAGTCAAGTGGGACATCTGGGTAACTGCAAATGTATTAAAGTTATGCATTGTACTAATCATTTAACATACCAAGGTAAAACCATCAAGGGGCTTCCACAGATAAGATTCAATACAACATCATCCCAAGTATAAAGCAAACAATCATGCCTACCAAAGCAAGCCAACATAAATTCCTTGAAAAAGTGTAGCTAGTGTGTCCACACAGTAATTTGCTTAATGAAGCAATGAAATTTCCATTGTAAAATCTTCTGGCCCAGGTCTCAAGTTGCAGTGGGGGAGGTCTAGGTTGGATATTAGGAAAAACTATTTCACTAGGAGGATGGTGAAGCACTGGAACGTGTGAGGTGGTGGAATCTCTGTCCTTAGAGGTTTTTAAGGCCCGGCTTGACAAAGCCCTGGCTGTGATGATTTAGTTGGTGTTGGTCCTGCTTTGAGCAGAGGGTTGGACTAGATGAGGTCTCTTCCAACCCTAATCTTCTATAATTCTCTAGCACAAGGAGGCCAGTTCACGATTGGGCTCTCTGGGTGCTACCACAACAGAAGTTGTATCAATAACTGGATTAATGTTTTTACTAAACCGATTTCAAAGGCCTCCATCAAATGCCTCCACAAGCCTCCATCAGCTGCTTACACAAACAGCTCTATGGTGATTGGCATCCTCCGACTGCTAGGCTGCATTTAATTAGCTGTGCGACTCCTTGGAAATAGCGAGCAGTCACATTGCTCTAAGTCTTGCATTCATTCTTAATTTTTCCATTTGCACCTAGACTGACACACTTAAGCAACCCTGATGTTCTGCATTATTAAACACCTATAAATGAGTACAACAGCAGTGTTCTTCCCAGGTTTTAGAAAGGCATCTTAGTAATACTTTTGAATGATTATAAAGCGTCTTTCATCTAAGGATGTAAAAAACAATTGACAAGCCTTTAATTAAGTCTCACAACATTCCTGAGAGATGCAGTCTACCTAGTACAATTTGTCCAGTTCTGCCTCACCTGTGTGTTTGCGCACGCACACACACACACACAGTTAGACCCTCCCCCCCGCCACTAGGAGTTCTGGACATGGTCTTGATTTTTACTGGGTGGTTGTGAGCCCCTAAAAGCCCAACCCTATTCCCAAAATGGGAATAAACCCCATCCCTTCTATGTCAGAAGGCTCCCTCATGGCAGCAGCAGAGAATGGATAGCATCGGGCAGTCCAGATGCTAAACAGCATTAGGTAGGGACCCTGAAACAACAGAGTGTTTGCTTCAGGAGTGGGTGCAGCAAGATCAGGCATTCACTCCTAAAGTTCTGCATTAACAGGGACACACCAGGCTTCAGCTATTTTCTCTCCGAGTTTGTTTTTGGTTTAGAAGCAGAGATTCCAGACATTCTGGCACAGGGGGAAGAGCATTCCCAGGTCTCCCTGTCTGTGGGGGCCAGGACGCTGGGCAGAAAGTAACTGCCTAAGCTCTGAACGCTAAGCCCTCTCCTCAGGCCACCCCAGGTGCCCTGCTCAGGTAACCTCAAGTACCACAACTGGACAGAACTGAACTGTATCTTCCAAGCCATGATCTTTGCTCTGTCCCAGGAGAGGGAAGGAATTGCCTGGTCCCAAGTAGGGAAGCAGGGCTGTTTGGAGGATTTTGAACACAAGTAAGAAGATGGCCTACCTTCCAAACACTCTTCAAAAGGAGGTGTATGGAATTCAAGCCAATCTGCCCATTTCCTTCCCCTGTGGAAGGACAGCAGGACAGAGGAGTTCCAATCTAAGGGGTGGTTCTCCCCATTTTGTTATGGGCATACAAACACTGCAGAGTTAGATTGCTAGAAGGGAGCCCCTGCGATTCTGGCTGGGGAGATGATTTCATACTGAATACAGAGTGTGCCTAGTCTCAGAGCTGCCCAATAGCTCCAAGCCTGCACTGTGCATTATCTTACTGCAGTAGTTTAGAAAGTCTGGGAAATGCAGTTCACCCCATTCAAGCAAAGTGTTTAATAAAGCAATAATCCTCCCTTGCCCCAGTTATAGCCACCCACCCCCAGCTGATATCTTCAGTCAGTTCCAAGATTAGCTCCCTCAAGGCCTGGGGTATATACACTCCTGCTGCATGTCACATGTAACCCATAGCACACTTGGGAAGCAGACATGTCTGCTAGTAATCATTATCCCTCATCTGAGCTCCCTGCGCAGTTGAGACAGACTGCAGAGCCAAGATCCTCTCTATCAGGAATTAGCCCAATTAGCATGCATCAAATATACTAATGGAGGCACGCCAAGCCAACTGCCCAGCTTGGCTTTAAGGAGAAACTCAGGATTGGAGTAAGGAATGTGAGCTATCCTCAAGATTAAGATTTAGTATTTTTGTAAAAATTGAAGACTGCAAAGCAGATACTAGGCCAACTCAATGAGACACATCCCTAAAATACAACACTTTGAAGTGCTCCCAGTCAAAGTCCTCCCCAGTCAGAGCTATAATTTGTGGGATTCCTACAAATTTCGTCAGACAGCCTGTGTGCAACAATGGAGCAGGCAGGTCCAGCCACTTGTTACTTGAAAGCACACTTGGAATCCTAAAGTGCACCAAGTTTTGGACCCATGGCCTTTACAGTGTGAGGGAAAGTCTGGGGTTACTCTAGATTACAGATCTAGATTAGAGATGCAATTGAAATGAAACACCCTGAATTTTGGGAAACCATCCATCTGACCTGTGCCATTGAGGTCCAGCCACAGTTCTGTGCCTGTCAGTTTGGGTCACACAGCGTTGTAAAGGCAGGGAGTCAGCACACTTTAGAACAGTTTAAATAAATCTATATTAAAGCCTTATCCCACACAGATTTCGCTCTCCATGGCCCAAAGCCAAAATTGCACATAACCAGTTGCACCCTTCTGGCCTCCCCCACTGTTGATGACTATTTCTGGGTATGTCCAATGAATCTCCGACTCCTAGTACAAAGATCCTCCTAGCCATACCAGAGGATAATACCAACTCCACTGGTTTCTTAGAGGGACCAGTTTCCAAGAACTGCCTGAGCAATGAGACATCTTAAATGTATCAGTAGCCAAGAAGTGTCAGCAATCAGTGCAGCAAACCTGGTGCCCTTACACTCTGCAGAACTGCAAGTGCAGCCCAGGGCATCCCATGTTCAGCACCACTTCAGAAAGCATGATTAGATCAATTGCTCAGCTTTCAATCTTGACATGTGATGTCATAATCCGCCTAGTTCGTCACAGGGCATTCAAGACCTGAATTTTTAGCATAAGAAACAAGGTGGGTGGGAGCACTGCCCTTCTCAGGTCTTAATACATCACTAAGTAGAAATGGCCCAAACTCAGTTTCTCCCCAAGCAGGTCCCTTCTCTCCCCCTTCCCCACAACTCCAGAAGACAGAGCATTACTCACTTTCCATGTGAGTAGGTGAGTTTGTTGTTCTCTGATGGTATCTTTGCCAGGATCTGCTCCGTCACCTCCAGGAAGTTCCCTCCACACCAGGCATGTTTGGCAAGGATGGTCGTGCCTCTGGCAACAACGACAAACAGGATGGCCATTGCTTCACGCTAGCTAGAGACACAACACACACAGGATTAGGGGACTCATAACACTTCCTCTACAGATCCCTCTCAGCAGAGCACAGTCATTCCATCTTAACAGCACCTCTCTATCTTTGGCATAGAGGGCAAGGAAGGAGTAAGACTGTTCAATATTTCTACCGGATGCCACTACCTGCAGCCCATCTTTCTTCCTCTTCCCCTTTTCTAGGCACCACTCAATAAGATAGGTAGAATTATGCTGACCTCGCTACAAGATTCTGGTTTGATGCAGGTCATGCATCATGGGACTACATGCAGTTAATTGCCCTTCCAATCTCCTCACCAAGAGAAAACATTTGTTGCAAAAGAGTTTGCTTCTAGGTAACTAAGTTTTCAGTTCTCCCAGGAGAGTCACAATTTTCACATTTCCCAAGTTAGTACTGCATGGCTCTATTGCACAAGATATGCTACATACAATGGAAAGACCATCTCAGACTGTAAGCTCTTTGGGGCAAAGGGTAACCCCCTGTCTCATAACAGACAAGGGGAGCAAGACTATGATTATTGTACCAGTAGTGGTCACAATGCACCAATGCCCGTACTAATGCATGCACACAAATCTCTGTGGGTTAGCTGGTTGTTTTAAAGAGGTTTCCTGATTTTAGTAAATTATGGATCCAAAGTACAGGTGAGACACCAGCAGCTTACAGTTCTGGAACCACCATATACATTTCCCCAGTAGCATCTCTTGGTCTGGCAGTTAATGAGGTACATATGCTTTAGGCAAATCAAATATCAACATGCATGGACTCCCACAACAAAAAACACTCACAGCATGCCATTCTGCATCTTTTAAAATTAGACAATGTTTCTCAGACTGCATCCCTTGGTGGGACGATAACCACATATCCTCACATCCTATGAATATATCAAATTCAGGGTTTAAGCATCCAAGCGACTGGGGCTATGCTGAGTCTAGCAAGACAGTAGAGAAGTACTTGTTAGCTGCTGAGGCAGCAGACTGTGTTAATCAGTGGAATATCAACACTTTAGTCTGCTGTCAGGGGACCCAAGATTTAAAAGGTGCAGTACATCCATAAGCCTCTTTTCTGCTTAGAGCATATGTAAAGGGACCGCCTCCTGACCCTGCAAGGGAGCCTACTATTTTTCACTTTCCACTTGGAGAGTTCCAATGTCATCCATCTTGTACTCAGCCACTGAAACAGACGCTGTGCACATCACCATGGATTTGAACTTGGGAAGCATGGCTGGCAGAGCCATCGGACTGTGTGCTGAAGCGACCGGGATCACTGGAAAGTCAGCGTTGTGAATGCCAAGCGATCAAATCCCTGTTCAGACTGGAAGCAGGATTGTGCTAGTTTCCCTGGTACTTTCTTTTCAGTGGGGATGAGGTGTTTTATTCTAGGCCTTAGACTGTAAAAGGCCAAGAAAAGGCACCAAATCACAGCATTTTCAGTGGTAGCCTCCTTGCCCATAAACCCAGCATCTATCATTTCGATGGACGGTTGTGATAACTGGTCCTACAAATTGACCCTAATTGTGAGCTCCACTGTAAAAAGTGATTCAAAGTTCATAAAATGTCACAATAACATCAAATGATGGGAAAAGGTACAAAAGAGAGACAAAGACTGAATTAGTCCAAACAAAGAGACCTACGGATATAATTCCAGAACTGTGTTAAAATCATGCCTGGTATACAAGAACAGTGAGACCACAATTGGTGTGTCAGAAGTTAGACCTAACTGGTAAACCAAATAATGAGGGGATGGGTATTCTACCCATCGCTCCCTTTTGGGTTCCTTAAAAGAAAAGACTTTTTTGGGGAAATAAGGAGGAGGCTACCACAACTCTGGCTGACTGAAAAAAGGGGAAAGAGTGAGCTTCAACATCATGGCTGCCACCCACACTGTCTCTTGGACCCCCAGACCACCTTCATCCTAACCTGAGAGATGTCCTGACAGAGGATTCAGATGATAGCAGCACCTCCACCTCTACCAGCTGCAGCTAAACCCAACTAGCACCTGGGATGTGAGTGCAGTGGCTGAGTGGTTAACTCAACTACAACCCCAAAAGTTGTGCTTTTGAGTCTCACTTGATCTCACACTGAAAGGCCATCTCCAGTTCACACAATGGCCAAATGATCCAGCAGGTTAGAGCAGCCAAAGGCGTTTGGATGTGCTGCTGGCCACATTTCTCCCTTGGGTACCATTGGCTATGAAACTGACATGCCTTAACCACATCAGCCCCATGAGCCATTGGCTTGGGGAAACTTTGACCTGGGATGTAATACTGTCACCTGCTGCATGCTCGTTCCCCTCCCCCACCAGTTCTTTTTCTTCCCCTCTTTATTTCTTCTCTTTTCTGTCTCTTTTTCCTTCTGCCTAATTAGAGTCTGGCTTGGCTAGCCTGGACTGTATATTTTGCAAGCCTGTGACCAAAGAGGCAGCTAAATGCAATGATCTAAACAGCCTGATGCTAATACAAGTTTGCCAGGTCTTGAAGTGGCTGATCAGACTGTGCTGTGCCTGGGTTTTTCAGCAGTGAGAGTCAACAGCAGCTGCGTTTTCTATCTTTGCTGTTCTTTTCTCTTCCGTCTTGTCCCTCTCTCTCATTTTGTCATTTAGGAAACTAGATCGGACTTTAACAACAACACTTCCTCCAGGTCATCTCAGCTAACTTCTTCTCTTTACCCCAGAAAGGACTGTTATCTTGGATGCCATCTGAAAGATGGTCAAATAAGGTTTCTTTTCCTTTCTGAAGGCTCTCTAGAGCTCAAGGGAAAGGCAACAAGGGTTATTGTTAAAATGAAAACCTTATTTAATACTTTACATATATTTCAAATGCTTTAACTGTCCCCCCCCCCCCATCTTTAATAAAAGATTAAAAGAATGTTTCATGGTGTGTTTGCCATGGTACAAAGCAGGCTAAGGTCACTGGATACCAAACCCCAAACCTTGTTTAAACTGTTTAATGTTGGACAATTTCAGGGTTATGTTAACACCTTTAAGTCTTTGGGACCACATATTCCATCTCAGTTAATACAACAGGACTCCATCTACAGTAGGAAAATGACCCATTCCTGACAATAGCGGGTCAGTACCAGATTCCCAGTAGAAACATTGAGAACTGCTGGTTTTGTCCCTTCTGCATTACGTACACCGTTACAGGAAACAAGCATTGAATTGTAAACTTGGTACCAACCGCTGTTTACAGCAACAGACCAATTCCCTAGTATATACAGAGCTACTGAGTCTTGAAATGACTCTATGCAATCAAGTATCACATCAGTGTCCATCGTAGGTGGCAGCAGGGACAAAACAACCTGATACGACCTGCACTTCAGCAACCTCTTTCTGGCCAGCACTTTCACCACCATGTGCAAGAGTCATTATGCATGAAAATAGGAGAAAGGCATATAAAGAGGAAGTAGCAGGCACCAGACCATAAAGCAGCCTTTAACTTTTGAACCCAGAAAGCATGTACTGAAAGAACTATCATTACCTTTCTATCAGGCCAACCCCTGGTCTGCTCTAGCAATATGGGCATAAAATGACTTTTTTTTAAACACACACTTAATTCTGCACAAGGGCTTATATTTGATGTTTGCGATGCCCCAATTCAGGATCAAGGTCCCACTGGGCCAGCCACTTTAGACACAGAGATAAAGTTCTGAGCTAGTAATCATACACCTCTACCTCGATATAACGCTGTCCTCGGGAGCCAAAAAAATCTTACCGCGTTATAGGTGAAACCACGTTATATCGAACTTGCTTTGATCCGCCGGAGTGCGCATCCCCGCCCCGGAGCACTGCTTTACTGCGTTATATCGGGTCGCGTTATATCGGGGTAGAAGTGTACTTGCTGAATCTCACTTCAAATTAGATAGTGAGTATGCCAATAGTAGGCACGTGGGAAGGCAAGAAGAGGGGCAATGATACTAAGACCACAGTGTTACATAGGTTAGCTATTGCATAGCTTAGTGGTTTGAAATCTAATAGAGTTGATATCATTGTATTAAAGAGTGCTGAGTGCCATGCAAGGTTGCCAACTCATGATGGCATCACAAGAAATGTGTCATGAGGAGGGATTTGAAGAATAGGATAGTGGATTTATGGATTAAGTCAGAAATGGCATTCCATGCTGAAAATCAGCAAAGACAGCATAGAGACATTTGTGGGAACAGACAGGTGTTCAAGCTTGCATCACTGGCAAAGCCAATGTGATAGGACACAAGAGTAGATAAGCAGGAGAGCAGAGCAATGAAAGATTTAGAGCGCTCCGGGCTGCTGAAGAAGACTTTCAGAGGAAGAGGGCAAATCAGATATGCCATTAAATGGAAGAGCTTTACAAACCCAGAGAATACACCCTGAATCGATGAAATCCCAGACGCAGGAGAGCTGCTCACACTTACTTTCCCTTGGCCTCTTACATGAAAACAGAGCAATAAGCAGGGCAGAGCGAAGGGCACTCCAGCATTTGTCAGCCGTCACAGCACTATTTCCCTCCAGTGCCCTAGCGTTCACTGAATTTGCCTCTTTCACTTCCCTCTTGGTCTAGAATAGTCAATCTTCAGACCCAAATTAATGGGCTTTCAGCCTCACCCCGCTAGAGGTAGAGGGCTACTCCTACTCCTGCTGCTCCTTTGCTCTGCACTGGTTGCTCAAAGCAGAACTAATCAGTGTCTCTGGATGACTGCAACTTGATACATATGTTTACCAAAAGCAAGGAGGGTCCTGTGGCACCTTTAAGACTTAAAGGTGTCACAGGACCCTCGTTGCTTTTTACAGATTCAGACTAACACGGCTACCCCTCTGATACTTGATATGTTTACCAGCTGCACTTGTCTCCTTCTTGCTTCTTTAAGCTGTGCTGATGGGCTCCCCACTTCCCCATGCCCCTTTATATTTCAAAGTGCTTGTATTTGCCTCAATCACTCCACCCATTCTCACTCCTAGAGGGAACAACCTGGTTAGGACATAAATCTAGGCTTAAGCAGTAGGACTGACATCC